CCCCAAAACCCCAAAACCCCTTGATGCTAAATTGAAGTGAAGTTAAGAGTGATTACATTTAAGAAATTAAAATACAAAAGCAACATAATTTGATGATGAGTTTTAGAAAACTAGCCAAGACATCAATATGCTAGATACCGAATCCAATAATACTATCATCTATTAGGATCAATCAATACTAATAACCACCGGCTGTTTAGAAGCGGCATTTCTTTATCCATTAGCATCACCATTAGCTTACTTCTATTTCCTATTGCTGCTATTAGACTAATCCTCATTCTCGTTATAATCATCTCTCACCCTAGCATAGCCTTTGGAATCAATAGAAAACATATTATTCTTCATTTCTAGGAAGGTCTTCATCTCGTTCTCCTTAAAGTCAAAATAATCACTGATTTTGAAGCCAGTCGCTCGAAAGAACTCATTATTAACCTATTTAAAGTTTATTTTCCCCTCTGTTTTGATGATTGTATAAAGAACTTTGCTTATAAATTCATGAGATAGCATAAGGCTCTTAGGAATGAGCTTTAGATGATCATATTTCTTAATGTCAATGAATTCTACATAGTTAATATATACATTTTGATAATAACTTACTCATATATTGCAAATAAGACCAATCTGCATAGTTGATTATGATTGAGTCTACTAACTCGTCGTAATTAACTCGATAATCTATGATCATCCCATTTTCAGTCACTGTGCCGCCAGGAATGGGTCTTCTTGGATCATGATTGCCGCGATTCGACAGGTCCATTGTCCTTCCGTTTCTCTAATCATAATGCTACCTTTTGTCTTGATATTTATCATCACGTCTCCTCTAATCATGTGAATTATGGCCATAACTTCCACCACCACTTCCATTTCTATTATTGCTACTGCTATTGTAATTGTTTCCACCTCCTTAGTACCTATTGTTATTACTATGATTGTTACTGCTATGTTGTCCTCCTCCATTTGCTCGATTTTAGTCAAAATTTTTAGCCAAGCTGAACACTCCTCCTTGCTTGATTCTTACTATATCTGCAAATGAAGACTTTTTATTTGCATCCTCTATAAAATGCTATTCGTATTACTTAGTGTGCACTCTGAACTGCTTGTTTGGCCTTTCAAATTACTCTGTTTTATAAAACTCGATGATTATAGTCCCTTTCTTGCCCTTATGCTTTTAATCCAGCTACTCTTCTTTAGCCTAAAAATTTTAATCTCCAGAACCAGGTTAAAGTCTCTATTTCTAATTTTATTATTTGTCATTATCGTCATCAGGATCAGACATACCTGCAATCTTAGGTGTCGAAAATATAAACTCTCTAAATTGACCATTTCCCAATTTGAAGCCATGAAATGTAGTCTTAGACACAAATGTTTTTTTGCCGTGCACTCTTTGTCCATCGAGGAATAGCACAGCTCCATAAGTGTGCTTGTCACTCTAGTCAATAGCGCCTACTTAAATCTTAAATGATTCATCTTTATCCACGCATATATAATGCTACAGCTGATTATGGCTGTTCCCTCCATTTTACTCAATAAATTGCTGTTTGCTTGGACTCCTATAAGCTTAAAGTTTGCAAGAACCGTATTTCTTCCCACTCAACGATTAATTTAAAACATCGATCTATAGACAAATTAGATTAAGAAACAATGCAGATAGAGGTTTAAGTAGATTCTTACAATAAAATAACCTTTTTCTGTACTTGGCATAGGTCGTAAATTCTTATGGTTGATTATAATAATTATTTTGAGAATAATCGAAAGTAGTGCTAAAAATTTGATAAATATTCAAATTATTGGATTCAGCAAATGTACATACTAAATATATATCATTAATCTTTATTTCCAAGCATAATTTGCCTCATGGGGTTTTGGGGTTTTGGGG